TGAAATGTACCTATATTGGACTTAAATATTTTCCAGTGTACCTAAAATATACCTACATTGGACTTAGTCATTTTCTAGTGTGCCTGAAATGTACCTACATTGGACTTTGTCATTTTTCAATGTGCCTGATTAGTACCTATAAAAGACTTAGTCATTTCACAGTATTTTCGTCTACTTACCCATACCAAAAATATTAACATTTCCATATATCTTTTCTTTAAATTTTGTACCTTGAGGATGAGTAAACTTTTAGAATATACAACTTTTTGTACCTAAAATTGACAGTCATGTTTGAATTTAAGTAAAACTTAATTCAAGACTTTGTCATTTTTCAATGTTATTTCTACACTAAATTGGACTGTCACATTTATTGCATCTTTGTAACTTAAAACTGATTTTTTCAACATGGGCACCTATTTGTGATAATATTTAAATAGAATCATGTTTTTCAATCAGAGAAAAATGAAAACTCAAACAAGTGAATCAATAATTAATAACAATTGAAATTATACTTTTATAGTAATACAATTATATCATGACATTTAGGATGTGTGATTTGTGTGTGTGTGTGTGTGTGTGTGTGGGGGGGGGGGGGGGTTAGAATAAAAGCCACTTTTTATCCATTATTTCTTTTTTTTTTAAATTATTATTCAACAATTTTTGTTCATTTGATTATTAATTATATTATACTTAAGATTTTCAGTTCATTAATGCAAGCATAATGTCTACTGTGTTGGGGGAAGAAAAAAAGGGGGGTAATTTTGTTAATCAAATGCCAAAAATATATATATAATTATCAATTCAATTCAGTTTTTTATGGCAAATAAAAGATCCATTTTTGTTCTTTAAAAACCCCCTCTACCCTACAGGGTTCTTAGTAATTTTGTTTTACATGTTATGAAACAAAGGAGGGGGGTGTCTTATAAACACAGTATAATTATAAATACCAATATTTTGACCATCTGAATTGCCCAGTTTAACAGAAAAAAGTGTATTAAAATCAATAATACCTTGTGTTACAGTCTATTAAATGATATCCAAATTAGGACATCTCTCTCTCTTTCTCTCTCTCTCTCTCTCTCTGGTGAAATACAGAAATGTTAGGGATGTTTAAATTTACTTATATAGAGAGTGGGAATTTATTTATATCCAGCATTCCAGTGATATTTTAAAATAGACTTCATTTTTCTTTGTATGCAAAACGATGTTGATTTCCAGTGTTCTTCAGTAACACAGGTGTTTGTACTTGGTGACCTTTATAGCTTACACTGCAGAAATTTTGGCTCGTGTATCACGTGCAGTTCTTCAATCACAAAGGGCTGATTTGAAGTCTACAGCTCAATCATAATAGGTAAATAAACAAAAGAAAAAATAATAAAAATGAAATAAAAACAAGATATTTATGAAATTTGTTTTAAACTATAACTGATAGTAAAGTAGTAGCAGTAAAGAATAGTGTCACATTTACAAATCAGGCTTGAAATTTAATATAAATAATAGCCTTCAAGGTCTTCAAAAGACCTGTCCTTATTGTTTAAATTACCATACACATAGTATGTAAACATGATGTGTATATTTTACAGGGTTCATGTAGTGACAATTCATTTCGATGTTTTGGAATGTACTTAGAGTGCCAGTTACATTAAGATTTTAGCTGAGGTCTAGTACATAAAGAATTTGTTGTAAATCAATAAATTTAATCAATTTCACATGTAATTTAAAAAAAAAGAAGTTATGTGAAATTAGAATGGCAACCCCGATTATAACACAAAATGGCGTCCAAAATGGCGGTCCCGATTATTTACCCAATTAGGGACGCTATATTTCAAGGAATTCATACTAATCGGCTTTTTAATAAAGTTGACGCCATGTAACAGTTGTTAAATATGCATTGTTATAATTTTTTATTGTTTACACGAACTATTTCATGAATAATTTAACAAACGTTTTTAAAATCACGTGACTCCTGCGAAGTCTACGATTGGTCAGCGACAGCGCGGATATTTCAGAGACGATTTGAAAATTTGCTGTGATGAAAATTTCAAGAAGAAATCAGAGACTTATTAGTCGGTGAGTCTTTATTTCAGTTTAAATTTTGATGCTGCTTGTTGTAAATGCATTTATCCACTTAGAGAATGCATTAGAATATGAATATCAAGTGTAGATTTCGCGATATTCTAGGTATTTGTATCGTAGATTTCTGGTTTGTTTTGATTCAAGATGGCAGTGCTACACATGAAGTAAATGTACTTAAGCATAATCTCTTTCTTTAACATTATGTATCACAAGACTTTTGTAAAAAAAAAAAATGTAATTTAGAGTCTTTTCTTAAAATATAAAGATATGAAATGTGTCAATATCTGGGAACAGTTACTTACAGTAGCCTCTGCATGAGCATGACGATAATAACAAATGAAATCCAAATGAACTGTGTGAGATAAAATTATTGTAATAGGGTCTTTGAAATATAAGATAAAGATCTTTGTTTTAAAAGGGGGGGGGGGTAAAAAAATTTTAATGAATCAAGCAAAATTTACAACCTTTATCCAGCATAATAAAACATAATAAATTTTATATTTATATAAGTTGTGCATAAATTTCTGATCATCTAATCCCCAAGCTCTCCACTTCCATACCTGGGGGGGGGGGGGGGGGGTAATATGAGACACATCATTTAATTCAGAGTGTAATGTTTCAATAATTCAAACATAGTGTGTGCATGTGTGTTGGTCAATATTAATGCCAGATAATTTCATGAACAAACATATTCTTTTTTTTCAACAGAATACTTGTCTCCTGTGGTCATTTAAATTCCAAGCTGGAGGGAAATGCATTAAAACTATAACTTTATCAGTAAGTATAAGATCTAATCTGATTTTTGTAAAAAATGAGTAAATGTATAAGAATATAACAAGGCACTGCTCATCAAACTCCAATGCAAACTATAGGGATTTCATCTACTAAATATGCTTAAAAATATTTCAGCATAAAATGTAACTAAGTAAGTGAAGATAGGGACCTATATACTAGGTCCCTGGTGAAGAGCAACATAATAATAATTGAACTTTTTCAGAATTGAAAGAAAATGACATGAAACTGAAAGCCGAAATTGCGTAGCATATTCAAAAGGAGGATCAGTGTTTTTAGAGTCCAGATGGAAACCGCAACTGTAAAGCAATGAAGACTAACAAGGTGTGCTGGTAGAAAATTCTGTGATGGATAGGAACTCTATAAAGATAATGAAGATTACATGAATTACAAGTGAACAATTCATGGGGGAAAAAATTGACATGAAATGGAGTATACTTTTGACTTTGTGTATTTAAATTAACTTATGTATATGCCTAAAAAGGTATGTCTATTTATTTCTTTTATTTTTTCTTATTAAGAAAGTTTAAAATATCATTATCTTGATATCATTAACCATATTAATCTAAATTAATTAAATGTTAGGGATTTGATTAATTAAATATTTGGGATTTAAGGTATAGATTGTATTTATAGAGATGACTTTTTAAAGAAGTGTTTTTCATATATTTTGATGTACTATCATGCAATAAATTTTTATTTTTTCCATAATTATTATTGTTTAAATCAATTTTTCTTTTACATAGGCCTGCCTCAAGCGTGCCTATTTGATAGGTACATTATAGGCATACCTTAAGTATACTTTTGGCACAGACTCTTGAGTACCAAATTGGTAGGCATACTTTAGGTAGACTTGTAGGTACATTTTAGGTATACCTAAAGGGTACTCATCTGAATGTTTGAGGTGTGTACCAATATTGTGCTTTTTTGGTACCTAAACTGTAGGTATACTTTAGGTGTACTTTTGGCACATTCTTGAATGTTTGAGATGTGTGCCAATATTGTGCTTTTTTGGTACCTAAACTGTAGGCATACTTTAGGTATACTTTTGGCACATTCTTGAAGGTACCTTTTAGGTATATTTATAGGCACATTGTAGGTATGCCTAGAAGGTACCTATCTGATCGTGTGCCAATATTGTGCATTTTTGATACCTAAAGTGTGCCTATTAATAAATATAGGTATACTTTAGGTATGCCTATTTTGTACCAATTTGCTACCTATACTTGAACAAGTGGTTCCAAACTTGCATACCTTAGGCATGCTTTTTTTGTACCTATTTTTACCCAAGATAGGCATGCCTAATCTGTACTTTTTTTTGGTATGGGTTAGCAAAGGGGAGTAATTGAATCTTAAACCGCCTTTTGATTGGTTAGTTTGGATCTTGAATCTCGAAACTCGAACTTTCGAATCTCGTATTTCGAAACTCGAATCTCGAATGAGCCTTCTGGGCTTTCATAGGGGTACTGATTAAAAATTGAAATTATTTTTATATAGTCAATTTTTTTTTACGATCAACGTTTTGACGCCCCACCCCCCCACCCCCTGGGTTATGATATGAACAAACTTGTAATAAGTATGTAATGAAGCTTTCACATAAGTTTCATCTTTTCTTGCCCAGTGTTTCTTGAGAAGATTTTTAAAAGATGTCACCAAATTTTCACAAATTCTTAATTATCTCCCCTTGAAAGAGGATGTGGCACTTTCTGTGAACAAACTTAAATTCCCTTCACCCAAGGATGCTTTGTGGCAAGTTTGATTGAAATTGACCCAGTGTTTCTGAGAAGAAGTCAAAAATGTGAAAAATTAACAGACAACCAACGACAGATGACAGACGAATGCCGAACACTTTTTGATCAGAAAAGCTCACTTAAGCATTCGGCTCAGGTGAGCTTAAAAGCTTACAACAGTGATGACAATGCCGACAACAACAATGGACAAATTTTGACCAGAAAAGCTTATTTGAGTCTTTGGCTCAAGTGAGATAAAAAGTACAGAGTCTCTCTGATTTTCAAAACTTCCCCTTAATCTGCTTTGAAGGAGAAGTGATTTTTGGTCTAGGTTTGTCCTTGTCATCCATACTTACAAAAGCTAAACTGGCCAAAACATACAATGGTGGTTTTAAAACTTACCTATAGGTCCACCATAAGGAGCAGACGACACTTCAAATTTGTTTAAATCAACTATTTCACTCCATTCCATAGAATACACTTCACATTTTCTAAAAATAAAAATACCAACTTCATTAAGAACAGAATTTGAGATATAAAATGCTCTTCAAATATTTCTCTTGGAACTATTATGATGTCATCAACAGAAAATTCAATGTGTGGCAGTTGTGAAATGAATATCACTTAAAAAAACAAAGGACTTTAAGGTAATCAATAAAATGCCACGCCACAGCATGGTACGCCTGTCAAATATTGTTCAATTATCATAAACAGTTTAGAGTGCAGGAAAATCATGTCAACCTTCATTCAAATATTTCCATGATTTTTCCATTCCTTATAATATTTGATGCTTATACATCTCCTGTGGTGTAGGCATTAATTGTAACAAATATTACATCCTAGATTTCTCAACTGGTTGTGTCTAAGAGCTTGACAAATGTCCATCTGCAAACCCCCCACCCCCCATCTTTCATATTTGTTTGATATTTTCAAAAAATTAAAAATATCATATTAAACAATATCAAATTATTCTTAACAATTTAATCTATACCAAATTAGTTTTTGAAAATAAAAGGCTGGCCATCAAGTGACATATGCTATATACTGACAAGCAGTTCTTCTGTCCAATTCCCAAATGAAACAGATGAGAACTACTTGATCAGAGATGCTCTAAAAGAAATGATTGAGACAGCTAGCCTTCCTACACTGAACTCATTAATCAATTAATATCTTTAACTGGATGCATGTCCACTCATTACTCCCAACGGATGAATGGATCTGCATTATCTGCTTTGTGGTCTGTATTGCATATTTACGTCATTCTATTAAAAGCAGAGATTTTTTTTTAATTTGTTACAAAGAATTATAAAAAGAAACAAAAACTTGTGTAATCTTCATGCAACATTTTTAATAAGGTTACTGCATGACTCTTAGATTTGTAGGGACTATCTACCATAAAACATTTTTTTTTAAAAATGCTTAAGTACAGGTCCACGTAAGAATCAGGCAATCGGTGATAAGTCGAATATTTCATATTTGGCCAGTATTTTTTCATATATTTACTTGATACAGTAGTAATTAAAATAAATCATGATTTTTCCAAAAAGGCACATCCAGGCTGTGATATGTTACTATAAATAGATTCGGGCATTTATGGGCCAAAATGTAAATTAAAAAAGAGGAAGTTCAGTACAGAAGTAACAAGTGTTGTTGTTTTTCATAAATTATCTAACCTTATTTTATTTTGAGAGGAGTCTGTATCCTTCTTGTATTAGTTGTCATGGAGTTGATATCTAGGTCGTATCCATAGCAACCATTGTAATTATATGTCAAGACATTTTGGATGTCACAAACATTGTGAATTTAAAACAATATTATTAAAAACAGCAAACACATATGTACCTTTTTACACATGGAAAAATAAAACAACTGCTCATTATTAGTTTTCCACTTTAAAAAGTGTGGAAAAATCAATTAGCAGTTTTTAATGAAAAGGAAAACTATTGAGAAATTTTGATAAATTGCTTGAAGTTTGACAAGATTTTTTCCTAAATCTAAGTGCATTGTGTGTAAAATTTAACTTTTATTGAATTGTTTCTTAATTACATTTATCACATTATTATGAATTTTTCTTTTCAATGTACCAAGTTTACTCTGGAATTAATTTTATTTCTCTAAAATAGTTTTGGAGAGAATTATGATTGGGATCGAAATTCTGTATATTAAGTACCCAACTTTGATGATTCCTGATTTTTTTTCTGTTTTTATTTTAAACACCTGTTAAAACTAAGCAGGCGCATCCAGTTTTCTTGTATTACTTTTTTCATATAGTGAACATGATGACCAATCACTGTCTATTTGGGTGATTCTTCTTCCTTTCATTTAGTTTTTCAGCTTTTACTGTTTGTCAAATACTGTCTAACGTATATATAACAACAAAGTCTGAGAATACATTATGCTACATGAAGACATAATTATTATGTATAAACAATTAAGTCAGAGTCTGTTGGTCTCTGCTAGCAATGTCCTAAAACTGTCAACTATTATAGATAAAATTATAAATTCATTTTCTTTGACTCCTTCTAAATCATACTACATGTGTATGAAAGGAATGTAAAGGATTTTGTTCAACTGCAGAAAATGATGCAGCTGCAACATTTGATTTACTGTACCATTATATGAGCAGCAATATGATATTTTTAATTGCATATTTAACAAATATGTCATGTTGTTCAACATACTAAACTAAATGTTTTTATATGAAAATTTCCAAGTTTATTCTTAAGAAATCAACAATGACCAATTTGCAAAAAGGTTTAACATGTTTATTAAATGTTAATAATTTACATGATTTATAAATTACATTGTACATTATACAAAGATCAAAATTTGTAGAAGAAAAGTTGTTACAATATCAGTTCTTTATAATCATCATTCCATCCCATGATTTTAAAAAAAAAAAAAAAAAAGCTCTATAAACAACAGTACTTTTCAAGCAGACATGCACATTCAAAATTCTGAACTTGATCAATTTAATATATGGACTTGTGGTGCTTCTACTTTTGGATGGTTTCCGTTGTTTTCTCATATAGTACTCTACACTCTAAATGGCAACTGGTATGCTATTCCCTTTGTTTACAACAGTTAATGTGCAATGTAGGACTAAAGTTATACCTACACTACTGTCACTATCTTTTATGATGGTTAAACACAACAAAAGGCACAAGATTCACTGCTCGATGTGATTTTAGAAAATTCTTTCATTTGTAAAGTTTGTTTCCTCCCTTTTCACTAAATTTTGAAGTTTGGACAGGAGAAGAAAACCTCGACTGTTTGAGAAGACCAAAGAACTCTTCTGCAACTTGAACTTGTCTGAAAAATTAAATGCAGTAGCATATTACCAAGTATTTTAAACTCTGAATAAGCATAAAAAATATTATGGAACAATTAAATTCCTTATCTCTAAAAACCATTTTTAAAGTCTTAAGATATTTTTTTTAAATGGTAGTTTAAAATAAAATAAATATCTATACCCATTTTATAAAATGGGGTTCTCCAAATTCATAGGAAGGACTTTCAAGAAAAAAAAATTACACCCAAGGGCAAAATAAAAAATACCTTTGTTTCCCCTAACGTGACCGACCTAATTAAATCCTGCCGACTGAAAAGTTTTTTTAAGAAGATAATTCAAATATTTTTTTTTAATTTTTATCAACTTTTATGAAATACAATTTCATCAAAACCCGTTCTTATTAGAAATTCAGAATGTATTTTCAAAGCTGCTGTCAGAAAAAAAAATATTTACCTACCTACCTACCCAACTTCAATTTCTAGGGTCGGGTTAGGGGAAACAAGGATATTTTTAATGATGGCCCAACTTTGAAATAATTTTGAAAAAGACCAAAAATTAAGGCACTTAAAGCTTAATGGAAAAAAGCTTGCTTATTATTTTTGGTTGACATCAAAAGGGTTTTCCTCACTGTTAGCTTAAAAAACTACTTACTTGCACATGTTGCATCACATGAACTCCTTTTTTGTGAGAAGATAATTTCCATATTTCAGCAGGATTCCGGGAAATAAATCCATAAATGTTAGATATATAATTCTGTCTTGAAATAACTACAATCAAGTGGTACATAGGCTATGTTGTTGTTCTCAAATCGAGTGTCGCATGACTCGAATAAGTCCGCATTTCCTCGCCAATATGACTTTATGGTTGAGAGTTTCAATAAAACTGCTGTTTGGCAACGATTATTTAAAGTGCGTTGTGTAACGCGAAGACCAATTTTCTTTGAAGTCTGTTATAAACTCTTGTGCATCTTTGATAACGCAGTCAAACTGTAAAACTATAACAATCCTGCCCAAATCCGCATATGAAAACAGACAGGTTTCGAGCAACCTGAACCCGATCAAATTTGATATCGCTAGATTTCAAGGAAAAAGATGTTTAGTTTGAAGTTATATATTCTTTAATTTTCAGTAGATTAATTAAACCAAAATAAAATGCCAAATTCGATGTTTAATCAATTTGATTCTGTTTTTTCGGCATCAGCGTACTTAACAACGGAGCGCCCTCAAGCGACAAATTAAGTCATAAATCAAGAACGATAACTGAAATTCACTAATATTGGAAGTAATTATCGGGGTAGTAAACGCTAGATTCGCAATTTTCCAAACTTTTTAAAATTTAAAATTATAGTTTTTAAACAGCTGTTTCGTTGTTCATTATCACTTTCTCTCATAACGTTTGCTGTTTTAATTTTTTAAGGTTTCAATATCCATACCATTGTATAGATTTGTACTACTCATGTTCATAATATTTTCTCAATATATTGCCGATTAAATTAGAACAAGCCTGAATATTTCCAAATCATTGAACATATGTAATATATATGTCCTGATGCATAACCATGTGAAGTTTCAAGTCAATTCTCAAACACTGACTTATCACGAAAATTTGATTTTGCCTGATTCTTATGTGGACCTGTACTTAATGATTTTTTTGAGATTTAATGTCAGACTGTGTGGTTTTAAGCTGCAGTTCATATAGAGAAACTGACATGCTGATTCCAGTATAACATTACATTTGTTATAGATTGCTGTAAAGTATATAATGAAAACCAGAAGTCTCTGATAAGACTGTAGCTCTACTAGTCTGTACATATAACAAATTGAAAAGGAGCACTTAATGGATTTGAAATTTTGCAACATGCAGCAATAAACAGAATTATGTATCTTAATGTAGTCTACTTGTGTGCCAAGTGCTATAAGAGGAGTAGCGTTATAAAGGAATTTCACATAAATTTCTATTTTTAGTAACCGTGGCAACACCATTCATTGAAATCAAAAACCGATGCACTAAATATGTATCTTTTTTTCTTTTTTCTTTTTTTTTTTTTTTTTTATTTCCGCTTTTCAATATTCATATAGCAGTATATTTATACAGATAAACATTGCAGATTTTTATTAAACATTCACTCTCTGACTCTTTCTTCTCACTCATTCACTTAGAGTATCACCTACATATATAATATATATATATATATATAAA